AGGAGTCTGTTGGTACTTCCCGCACTGTCAGCTTCTCTTCCGCGGCCCTCCCACACTTGTCACTCACCAGGGTACAGCCAATCAGCACTCAGAGGTTGGAGAAGGGGCGGCTACTTCCTGTTTGCCCATGAATGCGAAGACTCACAAGGAAGGGGCGGGCCTGCAGGGTAAGCGAGCCAATCACGGGCCGGCGGCGGCTGAGGCTGGCAGCTTGAGAGGCGGTTAATTGCGCTCCCGCTCTCCCAAGATGGCGGCCGCTAAGGATGATGGTGGTTCCGGAGAAATGGCTGCGGGGAACGGACGGCGGCTCCACCTGGGTATTCCTGAGGCCGTGTTTGTGGTAAGAGACACGCTGGTCCTTGGCATCTTGATGCTAGGCCGCGACCCCTTCCTTCCCAGCCCTCACAACGGCCTCGATTTTGGGGGGATGGAGTTGAGCTAAAGGACCTGGGAGAGCGCTCCGTACCCTCTCGCCCTCCGTACCGGGACTTGCCGGCGGGAACCGCGGTCCGATAGGGCTCGAGAAGAGAAGGGGGTCTGGGGCGGGAGTACTCGGGAGCGGGGCGGTCGGAGGGACCCTCCATCCCCTTCCGGACGCCGGGTTTCATCCCCTGCTTCCAGGAAGAGGGGTGGCGGTGAGAAGCTTGAGACTCAACCGAGATGCTGGAGAGACCGGCAGATAAATGGTGACTTAGGATACAGTGAGTAGTAGACAGAGCGGCTGGTGCTAAGGTGTGAATATAGGAAATGAGATCTAGTCTGTTGAAGGTGTGCTGTGGTCTTCTGCCTTGGAGGAACGGGAGGAGAGGCTGATGGGCAAGTGGGATAGGGTGAGAATGTGAAGTCCTTCTTTATCCTGCTAAGGAATTGAGACTTTATCCAATAGGCAACGTGCTGTCTTTAGAAGGTGTCTAAGTGAAGCCACAGTGTGGTCATATTTGGTTTTGGGTACATCGTTCTAACAACTTAGTAGAGAATGAATCGTGGAGTTCAGAGGGGAGGGAGGGAATGCAGTTCGGTGGCTTTGCAGAACAGCGATACCAATCCATGTCCAAACAGAGAAATAAGTAGATGTTTTCAGCCTTGTCCTTCCATCAGGATGTTCTAGAAATAGTATTTTGTAAAACTATTTGAATAGTGAAAGAAAACTTGGTTAGTGTTCCCGGCCAGTATTATCTCTTTTCCCACTCAGTTCTGGCTGAGCTATTATAAAATCTTAATGGAATTTTCTCAACCTTTTGGTTTGTACCTGTATTGTCTTATCGCTCTACCTTTTTTTCTTCTTGCTTTGTTTTGGTTAAAATATTCCTGCATAGTTAGTCAGCATGGATAAGAATAATGATGTAGAGGTGCCAGAAACCGTAAGGTGACTGAAGTTAACTTAGCATGAAGAACTCAAGTTCTTCAAAACACTGGATGTCTCTGATAGACTCTCCTTAAAGTTGCCATCTGTTTTCATCTAGTTCCTGATCCTTATCAAATTAACCAGCTTTTCTTCAAGGACCATCATGTAGTGTACATTTTAAAAATGCTATTTGGTTTTACTGATTCTTTTGCTTAATCGTTCCTGTTGCAAAAGATTGTTCTGTTGGCTTCTTAGGTTTATTTCAGCCATCCGATACTCGAGGTATTTGTGACTGACCTGGGGGAACCTAATGGTCATATTTAGCATGATATTTCTATGACAGTCACAATTGAGTTAAAAATTTAACCAAATCATTGTTGGCATACAACCTGTTGAATGAGATTGTGACTAGGGCACATGACTGGGCAATGTTTGATCGTTGGTAATTTTCCTGTTTAGTGCTAAGGCTCCATGGGCGATGCATAAAGCAGGCAAGGCCATGTTTCTTTCCCCATACATAAATAAGATAAAAAAAAAAAAGGTGGTGGAGGAAGACTAAATTAGCTGCAAAATGTATGGGCACTGAGTGAAATGGTCTCTAACTTTTCGTTTTTAGTTAAAGACAAGCCTTTGGAGAAAAAGAAACAAGGCTTTTTCTTCTTTTATAAATAAAGCTTAAGTAGTCAAAATCCAATTAGAGGTATGAATTCTAAAGTTTGAAATGTGTTATTTTTGATACTAAAGGAAGATGTAGATTCCTTCATGAAGCAGCCTGGGAATGAGACTGCTGATATCGTACTAAAGAAGCTGGATGAGCAGTACCAGAAGTACAAGTTTATGGAACTCAACCTTGCTCAAAAGAAAAGGAGGTAAGTGTAGAAATTTTCAAAGTGTTTTTTTTTTTTAAATTAATCTCGTATGGCTTAAGCTTTTAAAACATTGAGACGTAATTTGCATACAGTGACATAAGATGTTGAACGTTTGGTCACCTCTCAGTTTTTTCCCTTGCAGGAGTCATAGTCCCATAGTTCCTGTCACCTCAGCAGCTCTTTGCTGCCTTCCAGCAAAGGAGGTGTATTTTCTCTGGCTATTTGAGCAGTTAGAGGTGTTGCCATTTTAATCTGAAACAATTTCTATCCTTTTAAAAAACTTTTGAGTCTATTTTATTAGGTGCATGCAACCTGAGAATTATATCTTCCTGGTGAATTTAACCCAATATAAAATAATGTTATTTGTTTTAGTCTGTTTTGTTGGATACTTATAGCTTACCCCAGCTTTCTTTTGGCTAACATTTTCTTGGTGTGTCTTTTCTAATTCCTTTACTTTTCAACCTGTTTATTATTTATATTTATAGGTGTTCCATGTAAACAACATACGGTTATTATTTTTATATCCAGCCTTTTTTATTTTTTTTATTTATTTTTTATTAAGTTTATTGGGGTAACATTGGTTAATACAATTACATAATTTTCAGGTGTACATTATCATTTCACATCTGTATATTGTATTGTGTGTT